CTGCCACTTAAGCCGAAATAAAGTCGAGACATCTGATCGATAAATATGTTTTCATGTGAAAATCTCCTGCTACTATAATTACTCTGCTCGGCTAAATACTCTATTACTAATTACCTACGCAAAAATCATAAAAGTAATCGCAAAAGAAGTTTTATAATGGTAAGATCGTTGTTTGTTTGAGGTTTTTGACGACCATTTGCTCCAGTCTTCTCAGAGGAAATTTTCGAAGGTAGATAAAACTAGGGTAAAGTGTAGATCATGACAAAGATTGAGTTACGTTTTTGTATTTTTAGATGTAATGGTGCGACCATCGAGGAATTGGGATTTGGGTACTTACGCAGATGAAGACAAAAGGCTAGGCATTTCCTGATTTTTTTTGAATTAGAAATTGGTGCTGGAATATTTGGGTAATTCGATTAAAAATTTGCCTTACCATGAAAATTTTGAGGTTAAAGCGGCATTTGTTTTACCTTCGTACTAAACGTTCCGCTTTAAACTTTGAGCAATTAAAAATCTTTACTTTGAACCGCTTCGTTTTTCTTGAGAGGAACATTTGCCGTGTAAATAAAATTGCGCATAATTCGTATAAAACATGTGGTGCGATTGAGGCTGTTATTAATAAACACCACGGTTGACGGCTGGGCATTTGATATGGTGGTTTGGTTGAGTTGACTAGAAAATGGAGTTTGTGGACAGGTTCTTCTGTTTCGTTTGCAAAAATCGCCAGTTATTGTGAAACACGCAAACCAGCAAGACCAACCCGATCGCTGTTAGGAATTTCAAACAACGTGCAGCAAATAGCACGGCCGTGACCACCAGTAACCCCTCCTCTCTCTCCACTCCATAATTGAGTGGTTTGCCAAGTGAAAGAGCTCAGTTTGGATTTACTTTAAAATACACCTTGGGGGCCATCAGCAGACCTTTGCTCTACTGAACGAAATATGCTCCGACTGACTTGTGACGGTAAGAATCAGCCGCGCGTGTTTGAGCCAAGAATGGAGAAAGGTAACCTGATTTTCTGGACTTCACCGGGCGTGACCAGAGTCCAGACAGCTTGAGAAGGCATTTCGAGTCGAAAAGACATTTCGGAATATCGGTTAACATTTCGTATTTGCTCTCTTGAGAATGTTGAGACAGAACTCCAGCAGCTGCGGGATATTTGCCACGAAAAGGAATACCCAAAAAGATCCGAAATATAGGGGAGCGCTCTTCAAACCGCATCATGGGAACTGCAGAAAAGAAAGAATTATTCATATGATTGACTTTTCATTGGGACGCTGCACGTGACCTTATAAGAAAACTTCCGATGCCAGCTATGAGTAGCGCTTTTCGCGCGGCGAATTTACGCATATATTTCACGGACTTTCTCCTCCTACACTTGCGAAGTAGAGATCGACTACCGTTGATGGCCCGTTCCTGTTCACACATTGGCCGTACAGTGAGGCGTCTGGAAATAGGAATAGGCAAATACATACCGGCCTAGCTAGGCAGAGGTGAAAACAAATCGATCTCCGGTTCTATTCTCTCATACGTTGTCTATACGAATATCCGAGTCGATGCCAAAGAAGCCTTTCACGTTGTCTACCGGACACTAACAAGCTTCTCCAGAGGCCAACGCCAACGAGTGCTAGCTACAGCCGAGGCAGTAGCTATACGGTTAGCCAATACAGTGATATATTGATCAAACATTGATTTGTAGTTCGGCAGCAATATCTATTCATGTGACTTCTCACATATTCAACGTGTCTGGTGGGCGATGTATGA